GGCCTTCGCACCCTCGATGCCGCTCCCAGGAGGCACCCTCGCCAGGGATGCCCTCCCCCGCAGCTGCACCACCCTGGCCAGGGCAGCGTGGGCCTCCGCCCCGTGGCCGCCGTCGCCGTCGTCGCCGTCGCCGTCGCCCGTCGTCGTCGCCGTCGCCGTCGTCGTCGTCGTCGTCGTCGTCGTCGCCGCCGCCGTCGTCGTCGTCGTCGCCGTCGTCGCCGCCGTCGCCCGTCGCCGCCCCCCCCTCTGCGCGCAGCAGCCGAGGCCTGGCAGGCGCACGCCAGGCTCCCCAGGACCTGCGGCGCCTGCGGCGCCCGCCCGGCCCCCGCCGGCGCGGGCAGCAGGGCCCCGAGGCTCTCGAGCCGGAGCGCCTCCAAGGCCTGCCGGGCTCGGCAAGCCTCCTCCGGCAGGACGGGCCCTCCTCCTCCTCCTCCCCCTCCTCCTCCTCCTCCTCCTCCTCCTCCTCCTCCTCCTCCTCCTCCTCCTCCTCCTCCTCCTGATTCTGACACCCTCCTCCGTGTACCCATTTTGGCTCAAGATGGAAAAGAGATATCTTGTCCATCGGCATAATATATCATCATGGTAGCGTGAGCTGGCCACTCACTGTTGCCGACCCACCAGGGCCTTGGCGCGCCCGCGGGCGCCACGGCGAGCTGGCCAGAGGCTCGAGGTTGGAAAAGGGCGGCATCGGTCGCACCTGTCAACGCACCGAGCTCGGCAGTGTCCGAGCCACCGGCAGAGGCCGGGAGGAGTCAACCGGCAGAGGCCGGGAGGAGTCAACCGGCAAGGACCGGGAAGAGCGGCCGCAAGCGCGGCAAGAGGAGCGAGGCAGCGGTCGAGAATAGACGCAAGCAGCTCCAGTTCAAGCACGGCTTGAAGGATACAGGCAATAAGCTTCACGACCTCGCGTACATCGAGGACCACCCCTCGGAGAATTCGTCGGGAGCCATCGAGGAGGCGAAGAAGGAGGTCCTAGATCAGATCATAGACCTCGAGCGCACGAGGCAGGAGATAGCTGAGAGCAAGGAGGAGCTCGCCAGGAGACACGCAGTCAAACATGGACGAGCAAGTTCGGCAGCAGTTCGACTTACTGAGGCAGGAGTTCGCAGCTCGAATGAGTCAGACCGTCGACGAGATGAGGAGGCTGGAGAACGAGAATCAACGGCTTCAGCAGCAAGTAGCAGGAGGCCTCGCGGCAATCCCGCAGGCGATCGAGCGCATGGGCGAGCAGATCAGAGGCGCGTCGAGCGCAGGAGGAGCCGCTCAAGGTCTCGTCGACACCAAGGGGATAGGCAAGCCCACGACGATGGGCGACGATCAGGAGAAGTTCGGAGCTTGGAATCGCAAGATGGAGAACTACGTGATAGGCGTGTACGGAGAGAGCTTTCGTCCTGTTCTTCGGTGGGCTGCAGAAGCCGAACGCCCCGTGACGATCGAAGGGGCACAGGAGGCGCACGGAGGAGTACCAGAGCTGGAGACCAAGGTCCACCAGCTGTACGCGGCGCTGATCAGCACGACGGCAGACGGCAGCGAGAGCAACGACCTCGTGACGGGCGCCCCCGACGGGAACGGTCTAGAGGCCTGGCGGAAGCTTCACCGCAGGTGGGACCCGACGACAGGTCCGAGGAAGAGGCTGATCCTGAGGTCGATCATCTCGCCTCCGAAGTGCAACGCGGAAGAGCTGGGGTCCGCCTTAGAGAAGTGGATCCAGCAGATAGGCAAGTACGAACGCCGCCAAGGAGAAGACGGGCTGGCCGAGCTGCCGGAGGATATCAAGATGGCGGCCCTCGAGATGCTCGTGCCTCAGGACATCGAGAACCACCTCGTACTCAACAAGCATCGGCTCGTGACGTTCCAGGACAGCCTGAACGAGGTAATGACGATCGTAGAGGCTCGGACCGGCGTGAAGATCAAGGAGCCATCGATCCGCGCACGGGCGCATCATCCGGACGACATGGACGTCGGATCGTTCGGAGCCCCGAAAGGAAAAGGCAAAGGCAAGGGCAAGGACGGCAAGAGCAAAGGGAAAGGCAAGACCCAGGAGCCGAAGGGGAAGAGCAAATCGACGAGCGGATCATACTCAGGCTCCCGCACATACCCGACGGGTTCGGGCCGTGGTTCAGGGCACACGGCACCCCGAAGCACCGGCGTGCGCTTCGACGGCTACTGTCGGAACTGCGAGAGATGGGGCCACAAGGCATCCGAATGCTGGAGGAAAGAGCAGGGATCGAGTACGAGGGCTGGAACTGGATCCGCAACGGGGGCAAGCGCTGGTGGTAAAGGGGGCAGCCGCGGCGGCAAGGCCGGCGGCAAGGCGGCAGGCAGCCTGGAGGAGGAGCCTGAAGCGGAGGTCGCCGCTCTGGACATGGGCAGCTTGGACTGCCTGGAGCTCGCCAGCGGCAACGGCCGCGGCGTAGCGGCGGTCGACCTCTCCCCCTTCGTGCAGGACGACTGGATGAAGTTCAACTGGGACAGCGGTGCAGCTGTCTCAGCATTCCCTCGGAGCTTCGCGCCGCCGACGGGAATGAAGGGCAACGGCAGCACGTATCGTACGGCCAGTGGTGAGCTCGTCCCGGACGAGGGCAGCTTGCAGCTCAAGGCGGAGGACGAGTACGGAGTGCTACGAGCGCTCAAGGGACGCGTGACGAACGTGCACAAGCCGTTGATCTCGGTGGGGCAGGCAGCAGGAGCTGGACAGTGTTCATTCCTAGGCCGCAATGGCGGCTGGATATTCCACGAGAAGAGCCCAATCGGCAAGCGCGTGGTAGGTATGCTGGAGAAGGAGGCGAAGACGGCGAAGCACCAGATGCTGCCGGTCTATCGTGAGCAGGGCGTCTACAACTTCTACCTCAAGAAGGGCCAACATGGCTCGGTTGCTCCTCTCGAGGAGGGACTTTCGGCGAAGTCGAAGTCCGAGCTGGTGGAGCTCCTCAGCGGCAAGTCGAAGGAGGAGCTGCTGGAGATCTTCGAGAGGACAGTCCCCAGGAGGCAGCCCTCGGCGTAAGTCCACTGGAAGACTCAATACCGCGGTCCCCTGCGGCATCGGCTGCAGGGGTGGCAGCGGCGGGGTCGGGACCTTCCGACATGAGACCGCCGGGTTTTCAGCCAGCGGCAGCTGCCGCGGCCGACGTTTTGCCAGCTGCTCCTGATGGACAGCAGGCCGACGAGGGCGAGGAGGAGGCTCGCCCGAGGGTGCTGAAGGCACCTCATGAGCCCTCTCAGAGGGAGATCGCCGAGCACGAGGCGATGGGACACGCGACTTACCGCAGCTGGTGTCGCGTGTGTATTGCGGCAAAGGGCCAAGGCCAGCCGCATCTCCGCGCACCGGAGGACGACGAGACAGCGGTGCCGGTGGTCTCGTCCGACTACGCCTTCATGGGCCAGGACGACGCGGACACCATGCCGATGCTGGTCCTTAGGGATCGACGCTCGAAGATGATGGCAGCGACATTCGTGGAGAAGAAGGGCGACGACGCCTACGCCATCAAGTTCTTCGCACGCTTCTTACGGATCCTGGGCTACAGGAAGATCGTCAACAAGTCCGACGGCGAGCCAGCGATCCTGCTGGTCAAGAGGCGTGCGGTGGAGGAGGTTCCTGGCCTCGAGGCCATTCCCCAGGAGTCGGCACCGGCCGATCATCAGGCCAATGGGGAGATCGAGGTCACGGTGCGCGAGATCAAGAAGCAGGTGCGAGCGCTCAAGATGGACCTGGAGTCCAAGCTGGGCGTCAAGGTGGAGGACAAGCACCCGGTGCTAGCGCACCTGCCGGAGCACGCCGCATCGGTAATCAACCGATATCGGCGCGGCCAGGACGGCAAGACCGCTCTTCAGCGGCTCACGGGACGGCAGTGGAGGAAGCCGGTCCCGCTCTTCGGTGAGCGCCTGATGGTGCGGTTCGCCGGGGAGCGCACGAGGAAGAACGCGCTGGAGGAGCAGATGGTGGAGGCTCGCTACATCGGCCACCACCCGCGCGACGGCTCGATGATGGTCATCACGAGCGACGGTGTGAAGAAGGCGGTCGGCTTTCGCAGCCTGCCGCAGAGCGAGAAGTGGATCACGGCGGGCTGGGACAGCCTGAAGGGCCTGCCGTGGGACGTGGCTCCGCGTGCGGCCAGCGCGCCGCGGGCCATCGTCGGACCGGGAGAGGCCGGTCCGCCACCGATTGTGGTGGTGCCGCCGCAGCCGCAGGCGCCGAGGAGGATGTACGTCCTCAAGGCGGACGTCGAGCGGCTGGGCGCAACGCCGGGATGCCCAGGGTGCGTCTCGATCGCCAAGCACGGCAAGGTGCTGGCTGGCCATGCGCACAACGCGGTGTGCAGCAAGAGAATCTTCGAAGCGCTGGACGCTGAGGAGGCAGGCCGGGAGAGGACCGGCCAGTATCGAGAGCGGAGGCAGGGCCAAGAGGCCAGAGTCCGACCGGCGGCAGCGGCCGCGGCAGGGACCCCTCCGCCGAAGACGGCTCGGAGGATCACCGAGCCGGTGGCAGCGGCGGCGTCGGCGCCGGCCGCGAGCCGATCGGCAGCAGCGCCAGTTGCAGCGGCGCGCATGCGAGAGAGCCATCCGGGAGCATCAGGCTCCGGCGTGGCGGCTCCTTCAGGAGGAGCGAGCTCCAGTTCGGGAGCAGTGAGAGCGGCAGAGGCCGCCGAGGATGTCGACATGACCGCGACCAGGTCGCGGCTGAAGCGCTTGGCGGAGGTGGCCCCGGATGACGTGCCGGAGGCCCTCGAGCGCGGTGATCCACAGCCGGCAGACGTGCCGGTACCGGTGGACATGGAGGATCTCGCGGCGCAGCCGGCGCCAGCGGAAGGACCTCAGCTGCCAGCTGGAGTGGCAGTCGTGTGGAACGCCAGTGAGGGGAGACACATGCGGGTGCTCGCTCTCGACGTGGCGTCGATCGAGCTGGTCGAGCTCGGAGTGCTGACGAGGGCGAAGGCGGAGTTGCTCCCGCTCGTTCGTGAACAGGTCAGCGGCCATTGGGCCAGCGTCGGCGTGGACATCGCCGATGAAGAGGTGGACAGCATCGCCTTATCGGCGTTGCAGCTGGGCGCCGTGGACGTGGCAGAGGTGCACTCGCCACATCGGTTCTCGGCTCGGGCGGCGGAGTTTCAGCTGCGCCCGGGCTTCGCGGCGGACCTGGAGGAACTCAAGGAGGACGGGACGCCGTGGGACTTGCGGCGCCCCGAGGATGTCAAGGAGCTCGAGGAGCAGCAGGAGCGGATGGATCCCATCCTGCTCACGGGGTCCCCTCCATGCGAGAAGTTCAGCTTGCTGAGGGGCCTGAGCGCCAAGTTCAGGACCGATGAGCAGGAGGCGGCTGAGATGGAGGAGGCCAGACACCACCTGAAGGTGGCAGTCGACGCCTACTGGCGTCAGCTCAGGAAGCCAGGCAGGTACTTCCTGCATGAGCATCCCTGGAGCGCGCGATCGTGGAATGAGGACATCGTCAAGGAGCTGGTCGCGCATCCAGGAGTCTTCACGGTCAAAGGCCCCATGTGTCGGTGGGGCATGAAGCTCACGAACCCACGCAGTGGCCAGGAGGAGTTCGTGCGCAAGGAGACCGGATGGGTCACCAACCACCCAGGCTTAGCCCGGAGGCTGCGGGGCACTTGCAGCAATGTGGACGGCCGCGCGGAGTGGCATCGCCACATCACGCTCGTGGGCGGCATCGCGCGGTTCGCGAAGGTCTATCCACCGAAGTTGGTGGAGGCGGTGCTGGAGGAGCTCAAGGACACGCTGAATGACGTGGGGGAGCTCAGCACCGCCCAGGTGCAGCAGTCGGGCCCAGTCCCTGTGGACGCGGCGGTGCCGCCCGGGGACTGGACGAGCTACTGGGACGACGTCAATGGCGGCTACCTGGAGGCGGGCCTTGTGGCCCAGGCTCGCGCGGTCGAGCGCGAGTGGGTCAAGAAGCAGGAGCTGATCGAGATCGTCCCGAGGTCTCAGGCTTTCGCCGAGACTGGGCGTCCGCCCATCCCACTCAAGTGGGTCGACACGAACAAGGGTGACGCGGAGAGGCCCAACTACAGGAGCAGGCTCGTCGTGAAGGAGATCAAGGCGAAGAAGCGCCCTGACGAGCAGCTGGAGGTGTCCGAGGTCTTCTCGGCAATGCCTCCTCTGGAGGCCATGCGGTCGCTGGTCTCGCTGATGGTCACGTGGACGCGGGAAGCACCGCTCCACATTCAGGAGTCGCTTCGCAAGAAGGGCAGGAAGCCGGGCAACTTCAAGATCGGCTTCTTCGACATCAGCAGGGCGCACTTCTACGGGAAGGCGCAGCGGAGGATCTTCGTGGAGCTGGAGGAGGAGAGTCGCAAGGAGTACGGCGAGGACAAGTGTGGCTTACTCCTCAAGTCCTGGTACGGCACGCAGGACGCCAGCAAGATCTGGCAGGGCGACTACACGGAGCTGCTGGAGGAACACGGCTACAAGGCGGGCGTGTCGTGCCCAGCGGTCTTCTACAAGGAGGTGGACGAGACGAGGCTGCTGGGGCACGGCGACGACTTCGCGGTGCTGGCTCAGCAGCAGGACATCGACAGCTTCGAGGCCACGTTGGGCAAGAAGTACGAGTTCAAGAAGACTGCGAACCTCGGCTTCGACGAGGGCGACGACAAGCAGGCGGTCTTCCTGAATCGGGTCATCGAAGTCAGTGCGGGAGTTCCGCCTGGCGGTGGCCGGCCCTGCCGGCATGCGATGATCGAGCCGGACAAGCGGCACGCAGAGATCGTGATCGACGAGTTGGGTCTCAGCAAGGCCAACGGCGTGGACACGCCGATGGAGAAGCGCAGCGCCGACAAGCAGATGATGGATACGAAGTCGGCGGCGCTGGGAGCGGCGGAAGCTTCGCGCTTCCGATCCCTCACCATGAGGATAGCCTACCTGTCTCAGGACAGGCTGGACTTGGCAAAGGCATCGAAGACGCTCGCTAGGTCCATGCAGACGCCGACGGAGGCGAGTTGGCTCATGCTCAAGAGGGTTGGCCGCTACCTCAAGCGGCATCCCAGTACGGTGACGGTTTTCACGGAGCAGAAGATGTTCGACAAGATCCGGGTGTACGTGGACTCCGATCATGCGGGCTGCGCGGTCACTCGGAAAAGCACCGGAGGCTTCGTGGCGATGCTGGGGCATCACGTCATCAAGCACGGCAGCAATTTGCAGTCGACGGTTTCTTTGAGCAGTGGAGAGAGCGAGTACTACGCCCTGGTGAAGGGCGGGAGTGTGGGCCTGGGTCTACACAGCCTCTTCGCAGACTGGGGGCTGGACCTGAAGGTGGAGCTCGCCTCAGATTCATCGGCGGCCCGGGGCCACGTCCAACGGCGAGGTCTCGGGAAGATGCGACATGTTCAATCACGATACCTGTGGATCCAGGAGCGCGTGGGTAAGGGCGATCTCTCGATCGCCGCAGTTCCTGGTAAGAACAATGTCGCGGACGTGCTGACCAAGAGCGTGGGTGGATCTCTTTTGAGGAGACACATGGCGACGCTCAACATCTGGGATCGGGCACCGAGTTCGACCCAGAAGGATTTCAAGTGAAGGAGTGGATCGAATCCATGCTCCGCTACCTGTGGGGCTGGATGAGTTTCCGCCGGTGGCGGTACGATCGCACCGGACGGGTGAAGTGAGGGGCTCGCGGCATGGCCGCAGCCTGGCTGATGAGATGGGCGCGTCGGCTTGGACGCGCCCGCGTGTGACGTTGAGATGGGCGTGTCGGCTTGGACGCGCCCGCGTACGACGCATGTCGTGCCTGGCCGGGTTGGCGGCCAGGCCCGAGGAGGAGTGATTCTGACACCCTCCTCCGTGTACCCATTTTGGCTCAAGATGGAAAAGAGATATCTTGTCCATCGGCATAATATATCATCACCTCCCCCTCCTCTCCCTACAGGAAGATTTTCGATGAACATTTTTTTTATAAAAAAAACGCAAAAGATGCTCACAAGATGCCCCAGAATGCTCAGAAAATAGTACCAGGACTATTTTTTTGACTATTTTTGGACATTCCCCCTGTAGAGGGACAGGCCCGACTTAAGCCTGCTGGGCTCGGCAAGGCGACCCTCGACCCGCTCCTCTTGGGGCGAGCCGAGGCCGAGACGAGGATGACATCGGGTGAGGAGGAATCGAGAATCTCTGAGATCCGGCGGCTCTGGAGGATGTCTCGGGCGCCGCGGCCTTCTCAGGACGTTCCGAAACGCTCTGAGAGCGTTCCGGAACGCTCTGGAACGGATTAATCCTCGTCCTAGCCCCGTCCGAGTCGGACGACCCTCGACCCGCTCCTGTAGGTGGCGACATCCGAATCCTCGCCCCATCAACCAGCGATTCTCCGAAATCGATGGTAGGCGGGGGTAGGCTTCGGATTTCGCCACATCTTCGACGAGTTCCCAGCCCTACCCCCGCCGCCCATCGAATTGCCTGAATCGTTGATCGGCGAGGGTAAACTTCGGATTTCGTCGCCGAACCTTCCGCACCGTCCGCGCGGCAGGTGCGGAAGGAGCAGGTCGAGAGAAGCCAAGACGAAGACATAATCGGATCGAGGTACCCTGACTTCGGATCCGCGGTCCTGTGGCTGATTTCCCTGCTTGAGAAAATGTGTCGGAGATGCATCCCGAACGGTGGGAACAAGTGGGGCGAACACGTCCGCCCAAACGCAACAGAGCGGATATCTACGAACGATCTGATGGAAACAGCGGCGACAAATGAATTAAGGCTGAAACCCAAGGAGCTTGCAAAGTAGGGCGGGAATCTCCGTCCTACTTGCGAAATCAGAGAAGACCGAGACAAATCCGGATTGGGAGAAGTCCGGGATCTCTGATATCGGGCAGGAGGCAGCGGCCGACTCAGAGCGTCTCGCAACGCTCTGCGAGAGCGACTCGGAACGCTCTGGAGCGATTAATCCGATCCTGAGACTGCCAGGATCAGACAGCATCGGATCGGATCGGAACGAGCATCGACTCGGGCCGCGTCGGCTCGGAAGTGGAGCCGAAGCCGAACCAGATCGGCCGCGGCCAGATACCCAGCTGCGCTGCGCAAGCACCGGGCCGCGTCGGATCGCCGGGGAATCGACATTGAGCCCCGGATCGATCTGGGAGAACCCCCCGACACCCGACGTGTTGATGTGCCCACTGCAGGGTCACTGAAGCCCCACCCTTTCCCCAGGGCCGGCTCCTCCTCCGAAGTCCTCTCGGGGCGCTCCCCGGGCCACGCGAGGGCCTCCATGGAGGCCGGAAGCTGCAACAGAACCCTCCGCCGCGATCTGGCCACGACGCGAGGAGGCCTGCGAGGGCGGGGCATCGGATGGGATCAGCCGAGTCGCGAGCATGCCTGGGGCGGGAGGCATAATGACAGACTCGTGCTACACGTCCTCCTTGGCGGCGCGCGTCCGACCCAAACATGTAGTATATACCCGCCTTGTAGTAGATAGTTTACCGAGCGGTGTGGCCAGAACGCGCCCGCAACGAAGCATATATAGCTATATACATATTTACGTATACATGCGAATGTACAACATGTATATATATATATATATGTGTGTGTGCGGATGTATGTATATGTATGTGTGCATGTGTATAAAAAAAGGTTAGGTACATGTGTATACGTACATGTATTTGTATGTGTACATGTACATGTATATGTGTATGTAAGTGTATATGCCTGTGTGGAGGCACACGTATATGTATGTGTAGATGTACATGTAGATGTTATGTGCATGTAATTGTACGTGTGCGCACATGTATATCAGCTTTCTCGGCGCGCACGTCGCCCCTGGGGGGTCGACGCACATGTAGTAGAAGTATGTTGGGGTGAAGCCGACGGGACTGGACATCGGATCGCACCCACCGGGTCGCCAAAGGCCCTGCCTGCTGCACTGGCGGCGACAGCAGCCAGTCGCTCTCCGGCTCCAGCGGGGGCAGGAGGCCGGGGAACTGGCCGAGCACCTGGTCCCGGCGGTCCAGCGCGCCCTCGAGGAAGGTGGTCGCGACGCAGTTCGCGTAGACCACAGAGCTCGTCCTCTCGGGGGAAAGAAATTCGCTGGCCCAGCGGGCCAGAGGCGTGCTGAGAACTCCAGCAACTGGTTTACAATGATCTAGTTCGCCCGCGTAGGGCGGCCCCTGGGGGCCCTCGAACGAAAAGAACCTGGACAGGTCCCGGCAAGGTGAGACCCAGAGATGGTTTTCCTCCTCGGCGCTGGCTTCCAGGCTTTCCCGAGCGCCCCAGGAACGCTCCGAGAGATCCCCGTGACGTGCCGCCAGACGGCCTAAGACGCCGCCAAGAAACCCCAAGAGAGCCTCAAGAGGGCATCTAGAGAGCCTCAACAAGCAAAAGTGTCCATTTTGCGCATGGGCGAGGTCCAACGCGTCCAACACTGCCAAAGAGACCTTCAAGATCGCCCCAAGACGGCCCACTCCCAAGAGGGGCCCAACACGGCCCAAGAGGGCCCCACGACGGCCCACGAGGCCCCCTGGACAGCCCTGGGCAGCCCTACGAGGGGCCCCATCGGGGGAGCTCGAATTGAACTTTCCAGCTTGCCGACCCGCACGATCGCCCCAAGACGCCCAAGATGGCCTCCAGACGGCCGAAGACGCCGCCAAGAAGCCCCAAGAGAGCCTGAAGAGGCCCCCCGAAAGAGCCTCAACAAGCAACAAGTGACCCATCCCCTTCAGAAAACGTACATGTTGCGCATATACGACGTTTCGACGTCCAGCGCGTCCAACACTGCCCACGATACCTTCAAGATCGCCCCAAGACGGCCCAACACACTCCCAACATGGGCCCCACACGGCCCAAGAGGGCCCCAAGACGGCCCACGATGCCCTCTGGACAGCCCAAGACGGCCCTGAGAGGAGCCGAGGAACACGAATCACACTAGCCCTTCGGGGCGTAGGTGGTTCAGTGTGTTTCCTCTTCCACCCCCTTCTTCCCCTTCGGGGAAGGGTTTTACGCTCCCCCTACCCCCTCCCCTGGACCTGGAAGGGGCTTTTCACGGGTCGTCAGGGCGTCCAAAACGGCCTCGGCGAGGAAGCCAAAATCATTGGTTCCACTACGGTTTGGGCCCCTATTTTGGCCTCTTGGGGGGGGGGCAGCGCTAATTGAGGGACACCCCTTCTTTGATCGATCTCCTCTCCTCCGAAATGGCCCCAAGAGAGCCCCGAAGGCTCCCAAGGGTGCCCCAAGAGGGCCCCAAGAGGTGGCCAGGCGGCTCCAAGAGGCCCCCCAAAGGCCCACACGGTGCCCCCAGGATGCCCCGAAGAGGCTCCCGAGAGACCCCCAAACGGCCCGAGACGCTCCAAGAGGCCTCGGCGAAAATGCCCAAATCACTGAATTTACCAAGGTTTTGGCCGCAATTGGGCCTCCTGGGGGGGGGGGGCACTTTTGAAGATGACTCCGGGAGCGCCTGGGGGAGCCCAAGATGACCTCCAAGATGGCTCAAGATATCCCAAGATGCTTCAAGATGGCTCCCACGATGCTCCAAGAGGCCCCAAGACCGCTCCAAGTGGCCAGCGAACTTCCTCAGGAGGCCCCGAAGAGTCCCAAATCCCACCAGCCCTCTGGGCGTAGGTGGTTGAGGGAGTTTCCTCGGGGAGGGGTTTATCACTGCTCCCTATTAATATACACCCCCTCCCCCAGGCGATTGGGAGCCAACCAGGGGCAATGCAGGCCCCCCCACAATCCTTTTGTAAAAACAATACAAACACACACTCTGCCTCCACATTCGGAGCATGCGCACCGAACCCGCTGCGGCCTCCCCCACCATCCCTGCTTAAAAACAATGTAAAATACATTTGGCGGCGGCGGCGGCTGCGGCGGCCCTGGCGGGGGCAGCGGCTGTGGCGGCTGCGGCGGTGGCGGCGGCGGCGGTGGCGGCGGCGGCGGGGGCGGCGGCGGCGGCGGCGGTGGCGGCGGCGGCGGCGGCAGCGGTGGCGGCAGCGGCTGCGGCGGCAACGGCTGCGGCGGCGGCGATTCGGCAAGGTGGGGGCGGCGGCGTCGGCGGCGGCGGCGCGGCGGGCGGCGCGGCGGCGGCGGCAGCGGACAGCGGGCGGCGGCGGCGGCGGCGGCGGCGGCGCGGCGGCGGCGGCGGCGGCGGCGGGGCGGCGGCGGCGGCGGCGGCGGATTCGCCCCCAGTAGCTGCCCATCCAAAGACGACTGCTGAATATGCTGCGGCTTGGGCAAGCTCTGTGTTGGGAGGGCGGGTGGGGGTGAGCGAGACGGCTTGCGGGCGGGGAGGAAGTCTTGATCACTGTTCCCTATTGATATACACCCCCTCCCCCAGGCGACTGGGAGCCAACCCGAGCCAATGGCCCCCCCACCATCCCTTGCAACAAATAAATTCGAAACGCACCTCTGCCTCCAAATTCGGAGCATGCGCAGCGAACCCGATGCGGCCTCCCCCCACCATCCATATCAAAAACAATACAGAGTACACATGGCGGCGGCGGCGGCAGCTGCGGCGGCTGCGGCGAGGGCAGCGACTGCGGCGGCTGCGGCGGCTGCGGCGGTGGCGGCGGCGGTGGCGGCGGCGGCGGCGGGGCGGCGGCTGCGGCGGCAGCGGCTTTGGCGGCGGCGATTCGGCAACGGGGGCGGCGGCGGTGGCGGCGGGCGGCGCGGTGCCGGCGGCGGCGGTAGACAGCGGCGGCGGCGGCGGCGGCGGCGGCGGCGGCGGGCGGCGGCGGCGGCGGCGGAGGCGGCGGCGGCGGCGGATTCGCCCCCAGTAGCTGCCCATCCAAAGACGACTGCTGAATATGCTGCGGCTCGGGCCAGGCTCGGGTGCTACGTATGTGTTGGGAGGGCGGGTGGGAGTGAGCGGACGGCTTGCGGGCGGGGAGGGAGTCTAGACCCCTCCCCCTGCCCCCTCCCCTGGACCTCGACAAGGGGTTTCCGCGAAACGTTGGAACGTCCAAAAGGGCCTCGGCGAGGAAGCCAAATTCATTAGTTTTATTAAAAAGTTTTGGCCCCATTTTGTCCTCCTGATGGGGGGGGGCTAATTTAGTCCCCCCCTCCTGTGATCGATCTCCTCCAAGATGGTCCCAAGAGGCGCCCAGGAGGCCCCAAGAGGCCCCGAGATGGCCCCAAGAAGCCCCCAAGAGGCCCCCAGGATGCCCCAAGAGGCCCCCAGAGGCCCCCCAGAGGCACCCAAGACGCTCCACCTCCAAGAGGCCTCGGCGAGACTGCCAAAATCATTGATTTTACTTAGGTTTTGGCCACATTTGGGCCTCCTGGGGGCGCACTGCTTCAGATGACTCCAAGAGCGCCTGGGAGAACCCAAGATGACCTCCAACATGGCTCAAGATATCCCAAGATGCTTCAAGATGGTTCCCACGATGCTCCAAGAGGCCCCAGGACCGTTTCAAGATGGCTCCAAGTGGCCAAAAAGCTCCCCCAGGAGGCCCCGAAGAGGCCAAAATCCTTCCAAAACCTTAGGAAAATCCATGTTTTAGGCTTTCTCGCCTTTTTGCTTCCGATGGCCATCCGAGGCTTCACGATGACTCCAAAATGGCCCAAGAGGGCTCCAAGAGCGCTCCCAAGGCTCCCAAGAGCGCTTCGAGAGGGCCCCAAGAGGCGCCCAGGAGGCCCCAGGAGGTCCCAACAGGCGCCCCAGAGGCCTCCAAGAGGCCCCCAAGAGACCCCCAAGAGGCCCAAGAAGCTCTCCGCGGCACCCAAGACGCTCTAAGAGGTGTCCGGGACCGCCAAGAGGCCCCCAAGACGCTCCAAGAGGCCTCCACTGGGGACCCTTCCTGTGTGCTGCCCACTGCCCTGATCGAGGCACTTCCTCTGGGCATCGTTTCTGGATGGGCTGGTGGGGTTATGCGAAGCGTCTAGAATTCTTCCAAAGCCTTTGGGAAATTAATGTTTTTGTCGTCCTCGCCTTTAAGATGGCTTCAAGATGGCCCCAAGAGGGCTCCAAGAGCGCCCCCAAGGCTCCCGAGAGCGCTTCAAGAGGGCCCCAAAAGGCGCCCAGGAGGCCCCAGTAGGTCCCAACAGGCGCCCCAGATGCCTCCAAGAGGCCCCCAAGAGACCCCCAAGAGGCCCAAGAAGCTCCCCGCGGCACCCAAGACGCTCTAAGAGGTGTCCGGGACCGCCAAGAGGCCCCCAAGACGCTCCAAGAGGCCTCCACCAGGGGACCATTCCTGTGTGTGCTGCCCACTTCCCTGATCGAGGCAACTCCTCTTGGCATCGTTTCTGGATCTTCCTCCTCCCCATCTTCCTGCGGTCGCATTCACAAGCCGCCACCCTCCAAAACGGAAAGGCTCAAACTTGCGACGAATACCTCCGATCTGCGACATGGCCCCACAGCGACCATCCAAAATCATCAACCCCTCACCAGCACAAGCAAATAAATCACAGACCAGACCCGTGATCACCCACGATTGCCCCAGGACAACCCCGTCAGAATCAGCGACGAACCCCCGAAACCAAATCCACAGTCACTGCGACCCCCTCAAGAATGCACCCCCAAATCGACAGAGGTGCGACAAGAAGGGCCGGCGGAAGGAGCGAAGCGATGAAATAAGAAACTGACCTGCCAGCCCGTGCCCCGCAGAAGCTTCTTATCCCCCGATGGCCCCAGGGACCTCTGGGGCACCGTGGAACCCTCAAAGATCGACGAAGCACAAGCCCCGAGATCTCCTACACGTCAGCAGGATGTCTCAACATGCCATCGGGCGAGGCCTGACCAACCCCTAGCAAACCATCCCCTTCCGTGGCGTCACCCTCGCCTTTTAAGCTGCCCTCCGGCCGCATACGGACGTCTTGGGGCGTGGCGAGGGGGACGCCACGGAAGGGGATGGTTTGCTGGGGGTCGGTTAGACCACCCCTGATGATAGTAGGAGGATGAGAGGGGAGGAGGGGAGGATGGAGGAGGAGGAGGAGGGAGGAGGAGAGGAAGGGCGGAGGAAGGATGAGGAAAGGAGGACAAGGAGGAGGAGGAGGAGGAGGAGGAGGAGGAGGAAGGAGGGAGGAAAGGAGGAGGAGGAGGAGGGGGAGGAGGAGACCCCTCCCTCCCCTCGGCCTCTCGGCGGAGCCGGCCGGCGCCGCCCTGGGCAGCTCCGCGAGCCGCTGCAGGAACCGCTCGCAGGAGCCGAGGCGGTCGCAGAGCTCGGAGCTCTCCGGTGCGGCGGGACCTTCGTGCGCCGGCAGGCGCAGCGCCGCCTCCAGGAAGCCCTCGTGGGAGGGGCCGGGAGGATTCTCGAGGTCCGCTTCCTCCTCCTCCTCCTCCTCCTCCTCCTTCCTCCTCCTAACCCTCCTCCTCCTACCTCCTCCTCCTTCCTCCCTCCTCCTCCTCTCTCCTCCTCCTACCTTCTCCTCCTCCTCCTCCTTCCTCCTTGTCCCTCTCTTCCCTGCCTCCTCCCTCCTCATTTTCTTCCCCTTATCTTTCTTCTTAACTTTTTTTTTTGTTTCTTTGCTTATTATTCCTTGATCCGTTGACTCAGGCGGGCCTGGCTGGGCCTGGGTATGGTCGCGGACAGATTTGTTCGGGGGGAGGAGGCTGGGGAGGAGGAACAGCAGGAGGAGGCGGAGGGCGGATGGGGAGGAGGACGATGAGAAGGAAGAGGAAAAAGAAAATGCGGATGAGACAAGAAGAAGAGGGGAGGTGGGAGGAGGGATGGGCAGCAGCAGCAGCAGTAGCAGGAAGAGGAGGAGAGAGGATATAGGAGAGAGGCAGTCTAGGCTAGGTGCGCTTGCGTCATGTCTGACGTCCTACCCCTCCCGCCCATTCCTTACCGTTGCGCTGCTGTCTGTTCTATCCCCGGACGGGAATCCTCACGGACCTGCCACTCCCCAAAAAGGCCCCAATCGTCGTGCCATGCGCAGTCGGAGAGTGGGAGCGGCGTGCACTGTAGGAGCGATGGGGGAGGAGGAGGTGGCGGACGAGCAGGAGGATGGGCTGGAGGAGGAGGAGGAGGAGGAGGAGGAGGAGGAGGAGGAGGAGGAGGAGGAGGAGGAGGACGGGCTGGAGGAAGAGGAGGAGGAAGGCCGTCTGCGGCAACTCCGTCCCTCGCACGCGAAGTGTGGGGGGGCGGCCTCAGCCCGCCGGCCGCGCCGCGGCACGGCGGGCGCCGCGGAGCGGCAGCTGCAGCTGCTGCGAAGATTACCCGCTGTGCGTGTCCTGGCTGCGCCATGTCCGTTTCGCCCTGTGCCGGCGCGGACGCCGCGCCAGAAGATGGGGCCATGCTTTTTTGTGCTCTCCAATCTGTTCTGAGATGATGATGACTTCTTAACTTCACTCGAGCTGCGGATGAGCTACAGAGCTGTTCGGCACAGCAATCGAAAGATAATCATCGGGAGCATGCCCAGACCAAGAGCGGAATCGGCTCTGAAGAGACCGGGATGCACCATCAGACGTGGGCGCCAGCCAAAATCCCAAAGACGGCATGATCGTTACAACCGCTGCTCTTCAGAAGTGCGGCAACAAGCACAGCAGCAAGCACAACACCGGAAACAACGAGTACAACACCACATGCGACGAGGCGAAGTACAAAT